TTTTTTTTGTTAGTTTGTCAGAGAAGTGTATTCCACTGTCATTTAAATATTGTAGGTACATGAGATCAGCAAAATATTCCAATATAGTCCAGTAGTCCATAATAGTGGGTTTACCATATTTACTTAATGGGTTTGTGTGGTACAAGTACAATTCAGACATCAGCTGATGATATCTCACTAGTGTTTCACCAAATTTTGCATCTGATCCAACCTTCTTTAGCTCTGAAATATAATCCCCAACTAACACTGATTAAAAATCTCAAGAGATGTGTGGCACTGTCCCAAAGCCCTGGTGTGTAGCAGCTTTAGATGCCAAACACTCAATTAACAAAACAGGAAGGTCAAATTGGACATCTGACAAGGTTATCTTACTGTAGCTGTGTTGCTCCTCAGAAAATTCTGCCTAAGGTGATTCTCAGCTGTCATCCATTCTGTCCAGAGAGGTGTTAATCACTGAAAGTTATTTTTAAAATTCTTTTTATTTTAGCACAGGGACTACAGGGTCTCACTACAAAGATCAGACTCACAGTGATTCTCCTGTTTTTAGCCTCCCAAGTGCTGGGATTAGTCACGCACCACCACTCCCAGTTTCAATCAGCTTCTCAGCATGACCCAGGGGTAGGGCCAGCATAGCACAATTTGAACCCCAGTGTAGGCAGGCGATTTAGTGTGCTGTGCTATTTGGCTGACCCTGTAATCACTGGACTTAATTTGAAGCCCAGTTTCAAAATAAGACGAAGATTGGTTTTAGGGTGAGATTGGAGCTGTAATTCTGACCATAAACTACAAATCTCACCTCTCATTTCTTCCTTCATTGTTTGCTTTTTTAAAAAAAAGCAAAATAGATCATTTATTTATTTATCTAGCAATAATTATTGAAATCTACAGTGTCCCAAACATGGCAAAGATTTTGTTAGGCTCCCAAGTGTGGGACTTAGTCATTAGGAATTGAGAGCAAAACCTATCTGAAGAGATAAGAGAAAGGTACAATATATCAATATCTCCCTGGATTTGTTCATCCATAAATAATCCCTTAGCCCTTTTCTCTTTTTTTCTTTTTATTTATGATGAACATGTATTAATTTCATATAGCTTGGAGTTCACTATGCTATGCAGATGCATGGATTCAGTGTTACCAATCAGTGTACTAATAAAATCTCTTTCTTCCCACCCTCTGCCTTCCCAATGTCTAGTAACAACTGTGTTACATTCAGGTCAATTTCTTTTTAACTTTCACATGTGTGTGAGAGAGAGAGAGACCACTGGTTTCTTAAAACACCTGCAGTGTAATGGATGGGCATTACAAAAGGGGTGCAGGAGGTGTCCATGAGCACTGTAGGGTAGCATACAGGTGGGTACTCAAGGCTAACCAAACCTGGGAGACACAAGCTTCTTGTGGGGCGAATCATAGTTTCACACTGAAAGGCAGAATATAAATGAACACAACTGAGCATCATTGCTTTATATACCTTTACAGTCAAGCCCAATAAAGACAACAGAGAGGAATTACTCCATAGATGTGGGACTAGTTAAAAACTGACAATTGGCCAAGAGACTTTCTTGGCACATGATTTAAAAAAAGGAAAGAAAAATCTGGTTTGTAGGAGTGAGTGAGACGACCCAGGCCCGCGGGATTCTGAATAGACCAGAAGTGCAGGCCCTGCGAGTGAGTGAGACAACCTGGGGCCATGGGATCCTGAATAGACCCAGAGCCCAGGCCTGGCATGTGAGTGAGACCACCCAGGGCCCACAGATCCTCATTCGACCCAGAGTGCAGG